ATTTTCAATAACAATCTTACTCGTTTGCATATTATAATCAAGTTCTGAGTAAATGAATTAATGAATTTTTCAGAAACCTAAATGTACCAAAAGAATTAATAATAATAAAATTTCTTCTATTTCACCTACTAATTAAAAAGCCTAAATTCTATTATAGAAAATAAACATTGGTTATTTAAGTCACAAGGTTTGGCAAATTAAGATTAAATAAAATTTAGATCTGTATTAAAACATACCTATTATACAATTACAAACATTAGCATGTAGTAAAATCTACAAATAGTGAGAGTCAGAAATTTAGAAAAAAATTAATTTTAATTCAGTCACTCAAAAATTATTCAATATGAATTAATACTTTCCGAATAGTTTATTATAGAATGATATACAAATTAGAAAAATACGCATTCATTAAACTATAGGTAAAACAATTATCTGTTAAGTATATTTAATGAATAGTTCTATAAAATATAATAATAGAGGAAACTAAGTATGAAGTTTAAAACTTTAGTAAAAAAAACTTTAGTTCACAAATATTAACTTACTTGAAATTTGATAATCAAGAATACTAAACTTCTTATGAAATATTTTGCAATTAATATATAGATGACATAAATTATTATAATAAATAAACATAAATATAATTGCCATTGATATTAGTGCTGCTGTACCAAAATTTCCCGAAAATTATTATTAATTATTAAATCAGTACAAAGGGATACAAACCATAGTATTATCCGCTTTTATATACATAATTTTCATTGGATAATATTTATTCTAATTAACACGAACCTGTATAAATTCCGGAAACGTAATAGAATTAATTCAAAGCATGAAAAAAAAATATGTTGGCCAGTTTAAAATAATGCGAATGCCGCAATGTTTGTCAACAAATTCGTTTGTTGTTTTCACGGAATTTGCGAAACGGCATTAGCCGATGGGCCGAGGGATTGTTGGATCATTAGTTCAGCGGTTAAATTGTGCTGACTATATTGGACCAATATTTGTTTGCTTAGAAGCATTTTGGCGGATGGAACATGCATCATTTAATTGGGGCCACGCGCGGATATTATTCCGCACAATATGGTGGGAAATTGAAACCGGGAGGCGGAGGCGCCGGGTTTCATCCTGCTTTTGGGTCGGATTCGAGGGGCGCTGGTGGAAAGGGGGGTGCAAAAGGAGAGGATTCTATTAATGTACCCGGCGACCGTGGCGGTTTAATTAAAATCAGCTTAGTGTTATTGTTATTGCACTGTTATATTTTGACCGCTCTCGAATGTCCGTGCAATTCTTTTTTGCGTTTTGTTTGTAATTTTATTTTTCGTCCTGCTGCTTCTGTTGCTTTTGATCCGGAAAGACTGCAAACGGAGGCAACAACGAGTCGAATATAAATGGTCCAGTTTTAGAGGGAAGTCCAGTGGATTGCTCATAATTCTTTCTGGTATCCAGTATGTGCATGTATGTGCGCATATACGTGTATGATCATATGTGGGTGTTCATGTGGGTTTGCTGTGGTAGCGCCGGGTATCTGGGTTGTTACCGAGGACAGTAATATTTCCACGCTGTTCGCAGACGGTTTCGTTGCACAGGTCTCATACGAGCGTTCTTAATAACCGTCCGTTGGTAATCCTCAACTGATTGATGGCCCCTCCATGATGGAGCCCTCCCCTCTTTACTGCAGCCAAGACCTACAAGCCCACCTCTCATCACTTCCAGATTATTACATCTCTCCTTTACCCTCCGACGAACCTCCTCTTTTCCTTGCCCTTTCCCAGTTCTCCCCCCCCAAACCACAATCCCGCAACGACTCATCTTTTTTATTTTGTGTATTTTCACTTCTTGTCCGAATACACCGACATGGATCCTGCTTGATTTCGTTTGACTTTTCAACGTTTTGTTACATTACAAATCAATTCCACATCAACAATTTTCTTATAATAAAGGGCATTTTTTTTTTCGCACTAAAACCAGATTAGAGATTTCTATATGCTGACATTAATAAACATTGAGATCACGTTATGGAAAAGTACACGATCTACCAACGCATAGAAAATCTAAAATTGGATTTGGAAGTCGCTAGTAATGAAACTATGCAGTTATTGCAAGATACATTTAATGGTCGTGGTTTCTCGAAGCATGGGGATGTAAATTAGCCACCAAGATGACTTTCTTTCTTTTTTGTCATTTAGTATATTTAATTTTACAATATATTCTTGTGAATAGATTTGGCAAACTTTCCACTGGAAGCTTTTAATATTATTTTGCTTTTTTTAATTTATTGGTTAGCTATCGTTTTATTGGTTAACTTCAGTAATATGCGATTCTACTATTCCCTGCTGCGAAATTTGTCAACATGTTATGGAAATTTTTATTAAAAGACACAAATAACCTCTACTTTCTAATAAAGCAAAAATATTATCAATTATTAAACAAAAAAATGTGTTTTAATAAAAAAATAAAATATCACTTCATTTTAGGACACCCTTTAGTAAAATGAGCATTTTAGTTGCTCATTACTATTTTAATTATTTAACATAGAAAATTAATTGAACACTGTAAAAGGATGATTAAAATTAACAAAAAGATTAGATGAAAACGGTTGCTTAATGGAAAATTCAGTAAAACTTTGCGCAATCAAAGTTCGTCGATCCTCTTTATCTGAAATCGCAGCAGCAAAAATCCTGGCGCATCCGCGTGAATTATTTAAACATTTACTAGCGCAATTTCAGAAAAACCCAAAACTCTTCCCCCAAACACCAGCGGATCCTCCCAACTCATGGCAATTTATTTTATTTAATTCTTTTATGGGGGTCGTTTCCTATTCCGGATGCGCGTTCAGAGGCAACCGAATGCATTTTAAATAGCGCACTTAAACAAGGAATCCCCATTCATTCCTAACAACTTACCTGCACTCTCATTACGGGAATATCCCGCGAATTCTACGAAATAATAATGATAAGAGTAGAAGAACAAAAATAGGCGAGAAGAATAGGATGGCGACGCAACGTTTATATATATATATGAAATGCAATAAGGGAGAAACTATTGGATTGTTCTACGTTTTGTTTTTTTTATTCTTCTGTTCTTCTTTTGCGCAATATCAGAGCGCTCGATGGTGTAAGCTTGGGTATAAAAAGGCGTTTAGCTCGGCGATTGTAAAGATCATTCGGCAATTAAACCGTGGAAATCTGGTATTAAGGGCGTTTAAGCATATTTTACTTGCGAACTTCGAATATGCTTTCTATCCTTTTTTCACCGGTTCCGCTTGTCGCCCCACTTTATTTCCACTTAATTCTACTTTAATTATTGCTTCCTGCATTCGCTTAATTTTACTACCTTGACGATATCCATCGTTGTATTTTGTTTATAGTTTCAATTCACAAATACAAACTTTGTTTAGACATCTTTCAGTGATAATTCTTTATTGTTTCTGATAGAAAAATCCAATAATTTGTATAAAAGTACAAGAAATCAGGATAAAATTCTTATTAAGAAAAAAAAATAAGAAAAATTTATAAAACATCTTTAATTATAGAATAGTTTTGTTATTTTATATTTTAACTAGTTATTGTATACATTATCTAACACTAACATTATTTAACACTAAATATAATTGATTATCAGGTGTAGCAAAACTAATTGATTTTTCCAACATATATTTACATTTATGGATGGAATAGAATAATAAAAATTTGTTTTAATATAAATATTAATTATTTTACATAATTACAGATAAATCATCTATTAAAGTTTTAGGAAATTGTAACAATGGATTGTAAACTGTGATACATCAGATAAAAAAATTCACAGGTTTTTTTCATATTATTTGTGGAAGAAAACTTACATTTCTTGGAAATTACTTTCTTGACATGTTAGAGCACTTTGTAATTTTATCCCAACTGTCCCGAAAAAAATAAACTGAAGTGATCATAACATGTGGAACGGACGTGAAAGACATAGATCTCCAGCTACTTGTTCTGCAGATTTAATACCCTTATAAACCATAAAATTAATATTTTTTTAATAATAGACACGATATATTTGACATCCTAAAGCAGCTCATTGAGTTGAAAGTGAGAAATTCAAAGATTATTTAAATTCATAAGGATTATTGATTCTAAAAAAATCGTCAGGTCGAAATGAAAGGATTTCTTTGACAAGATTCTCATTTCAGGTTTTGGAAAAATGATTTTGTATCATTTTTGATATAATAACAAGAAAATGCTCCAATTTTGCTATCTTTGCATTCAAAAAGATTTTACTGCTTTGTTTTTATATTCATTAGAGTGGACAATACATGTTTACAAAGGTAGATTTTGCAAAAGGCAACAACTTTTGACTACTTCCTAATGTGTAAATTTGAAAGTCTTTATAGCTCTTGAAAGCCAAAATTTTGACAGATCTGCTTTATTTTCAAGTTTAATACATGCTTCACTTTTGGATGAAAGTTCAGGTAGTACCATCCTTGTAGCTATTATGATAAATCAGCAAGTTCGCATTTGAAAAGATCTACAACTTAGAACTGTATCCTCAATGTCGCCAAAAGTTATATTTTCACAATCTTCCAAAAAGAAAGCAAACTTCGAAAAGTATCCAATATCATTAAATGTTTATAAAATTATTTTATTTTTTTAGAGATATATATTTTATAATAATTTGAAATAATGGAATCACTTTGCAATGACTGATGATGTTTTACGGAAATGATAATGAACCTAAACGGTAATGATGAAATGGATCATTTGATGTGAAAATTGCAGATAGAAATCGAACACATAAACATTTCCTTCGTGCATTGTATGTTTTCCTTTGTTTTCGGCTGACCCCTTGACACACACACACACGTATACTCGCATCCATTCAAAAACATTCACATTCTCACATATATAAATACATGAATGTGTGCGAAAGTGGAAGAGGGATGAGCGTAGAGGAAATAAATAAAGTGAGTTTGAGTATTAAATCTAAAAGCTGCGAGAGGTGTAATTCATTTTGGTCGGTTCATGGTGTCGTTGGTTGCTGGCAGGAATAACCCAAAAACTGGTAGAATGAGGACAGCGCGGCCGCTGGTTTTTGCGATGTTCCTCTGTTGGAATGCAATGCCCACAAAACAATACGACATGGTAAGTCAATCAATTTGCGTAACGGACACACAATCTAGGCACGACGAAAAAATAAAATTTTGTACGTAGCCGCACGTATATACCCATCACAAAAAAAAATAAAATAAATAAAGGGATAAAAAACGAATACAAAAATGAGCCGGGGCTTGCACATACACGATTCTAACATTAAGGTCCGTTGAAACACATGACATTGTTCCGCAATGATGTGATCGAAACAAAAACTGATTAAAAGCAGAGTCGAGAGAAAAAAAATATGTATATAAAATAATAATGAACAGCATTGACGGGCTTTGTGTTCTTGGTTGCACGTCGATTTATTTCGTAATTACTGTTGGAATGTCTTCATTGCATCGATGGATCAAGAATAGCCTTGCAGATTTTTTTTATATATAATTAATTGTATATTGTTTTCCTCTGATATTTCCAATTGTTTTATTACAAGGATAAAATGATTTAATAATTTCTTTCATATAATAATCAACTCATAATTATTGATGTTTGACAGCTTAAAAAATAAGCTGGATTTCTTTAATGAGATTTCTTCACAGTTGTTGTATTACAGTGTAGTCTTTTAACTAATTTTTGATATAATTTAAAATTTTACAAAAAACTTATTTCTTGTACTAAAGATAATACCTATATTCTGAAAGTACAGTGAAACATCGGTTTCCGAACAATTCCTTCTCTGAATGTAATACTAAAATAAAGACTATTCATACTTAATTTTGATTTCCGAACAGTAAACTTAAACATAAATAATGTCTAGTGTTAGCTGAGAATACCGTAGACTCGATTATCGAACAGCCTTTAGAATCAAATTATGTTTGACAGGTAAGTTTTGCAAACTTAATTTCGGTTTCCGAATAGTAAAAGAATGTCCAGCATGTGAGATAAGAATACGGCGGATTCAGTTTCCGAATAGCTTTTAGAATTGAATTATGTTTGACAGATATAAAACCAAGTTTTTCAAACTTAATTTCGGTTTCCGAATAATAACATAATGTTCAGTATGTGACAATGAATTCAGTTTTAGAACAGAGTTTAGGAACGAATTATGTTTGTACAGTCTCCTAATTGACTGTGATAAGTAAGTAGTGTTGATTTCGGTTTTCGAATTGTAAAATAATGTCCAGTATGTGACAATGAATTCAGTTATCGAACAGACTTTTGGAACGAATTATGTTTGTACGGTCTTTATAATTGACTATGATAAGTAAGTAGTGTTGATTTCGGTTTCCGATTAGTAAAATAATTTCCAGTATGTGACAATGAATTCAGTTTTCGAACAGACTTTAAGAACGAATTATGTTTGTACAGTCTCTCTAATTGACTATGATAAGTAAGTAGTGTTGAATAACCCTAGAATTTACCACCGCAAGAACTACATTATATTTAAGTAAGTTGTGTAAGTACTTGCAAAAAATCTTGTCAAGTACAGAGTAGTAAAAATCCGATTTTGTAAGGGACAAACCTGCTTCTATCAGTAAGTTTTTGAATGGACTTACGTATTTTTTTTATGAATGTGTGTCTGTTATTACGTTTGCGAGCAATATTTTGAGTGTGGCAAATTGCTGCGAGAGTACTTTTTGAAAGGTCATTTGTTAGGGTGGTTCATTAGGGCGGTCGGCGAAAAGCGGCGGGGAGAAAGTGCGCGCATAAAAAATAGCGTGCAGTCGTGGGATGAGTGGTTTGGGGGGATTTTTGCAGGAGAGAGAAGAGTTATAGAAGAAGCGCGGCTTTATTAAATGTTTTCCGTGCGGCGGGGGCGGTTGAAAATTAAAATAATCCGTTCGCTCGGGGGGTTTCCGTGCGCAGCGACCGGACCGGAAAGGCATCCGGATGCTGCAGGAGAAAACTAAAAGTTGCATTATAAATGGTCCGCAGGAGCTAACGATGACTTATGTTTTGCAGGGCGGAAAGAGGGTGACAGTCCGGAGGGTGGCCCAGTGCAGCGACCGAAGGAGCTTAGCTGTTTCCGTCGAGGACGTCCAATTAGGGGTGGAGAACGGCAGTCAAACGGTCGCCGGTCACGTGGCCTTCCGCAAAGACACGGGCACCAAGTTATTCGTAAATATCTATAGATACAATTAATTACATTCGCTGCCAATAGACTTGAGCGAAATTAATGATGGAAGTTTCGCATTTGCGGGTGGGTGGTGAGGTGGTTTAACGAACGCTCACGTACGTTACGCCATCTAGCGGCGATTGATTGAAAGAAATCAATATTTTAATTAAAAAACTCGAAAAAAGTCGGGGGGGCAAAAGAGAAAATACATCCAGCGTGTATGATTTACGATACGTGTGAGATTAAGTGATTGATTTCGTTTGTTCGGTGATTCTTCTCATTTTTTTATCATCAATTTTTGGCTTGCTGTTGCGAAGGGAATGATTTGTAGAAAGTCTAGTTTAATTGATCTTAGGTTCAACATTTACTAAATTCAATTATTATTAAAATGCATCTATCACTTTCATTGGAAGAAATATACCACACAATATTATAACAAAAATAATTTACTACAGCAAGTTAATTAATGAACATAAATTCAAAGTAAATATACATTTTAAAATATAATAAAAAAAATAAAAAGTAACAATTGTATATAATTACTTACATCTGGCCGTAGGAAATATAACTTAATTTTATAACTTGCAATAAATAAATATTCGTTAAACCCAGAATAATATCTATAATATAAATGCAAAGTCATTAGGACAAATTTAATAAGTAACTTGAAAAGTAGAAGTAAAGTACACGTGATCAACATGTATTTTATATCAAAACTAACTTTTGTTGCTAATTTATTTTTTTTTCTTTTTCATGAAAATGTGTATCGTCTAGTATAGAACTAGACAAACTCAAAAAATAAACACCTAGCCTTAATAATTCAGTGTTTACGTAACTTTACATTTTGTTCAACACTATCATTTTGGAGACGCTATATATGAGAAAGAAGCGGTAATGTCTTAACTAAACAATATTGATTGCATCTATATATTTGATAATGAAGTTTTATTAATTAAAAGTTACAATTACTTTTTTTATTTACAAATCTTTACATATGTACAAATATTATACTTGACAAAATCAATTATATAAACTTCATTTAATGTAGTAATCCACTCCATATTTACAAAAATTTATATAAAACATCTTTAATATTTTTTTTTTAACTTTTCTTATAGGATAAAACATATAACGTTTATCTCAACAACCATAATCCCCACAAAATCCTCTACTTACAAAGTAAATTATTATTATTACGGGATGGAAGTTGTGACTAGGAGTACGGCTTTGTTTATAATGATGATTAATTATATTATTTATATAAATAATATAATAATACATAAAAAATAAATTCTATTTGTATTTTAGATTATTTCTTATTGTTAAAGATTAATGAATAAGTCTATATCAAATAATAAAAAATAGTGTCGGGATTTTGAACTGTCGGGAATTTGATTGTCGGGATTTCAATATTGAGCCAACATATAATATATAAGGATTTACATTGCATATTTATTGTAACAATTACAAAATTATATAAGTATATTAAACGACTTTCCGACTATTATGATAATTATTAATATTTTCTTTCTTTTGAATAATAGTAGTTACAACAAACTACTTTAAAAAATCTGTTGATGAAAAGTCTATAATTAAACTCACTGATTCCCAAACTATGGACCGCAAAAATTGAAGAAAAACTACTATTAACATGGGTCTATATCGCAAGCCCGACAACCGAAAAACCGTCTATTAAAATCCCTACGCTTGAAATCCTGACTATGTCAAAATCCCTACTTCCATAATCCCGACAATCAAAATACCGACTATATTGAAATCCCGACTACCATAATCAAGACAATAAAAAATCCCGACTATATCGAAATGTCGAGTACCATAAAAATGTTATTGTACAAATTTCTAATAATAAAAGTCGGGATTTTGATTGTCGGGATTATGATAGTCGGGATTTTGACATAGTCGGGATTTCGATATAGTCGGGATTTCGAACATCGGGATTTTGATAGACGGGATTTCTATTGTCGGGCTTGCGATTGTCACCGTATTTACATATAGAGCACTGGAAACCTAAAAAGTTTGGGAACCCCTGATTAAACCTATGAACCTAAGTTTACGTAATTACAAAATTTACATTTTATGTAAATTATAATAATGTAAATATACTGAAGTTTCCTAATATTGTTTCTTTCCTAATATTTCGAAACTTTCCATTTATTTTATACAGATGGCACAGATTTTTATACTTGTGGTATATTCCCTATTAACAATTTAATTAAAATTTATGTAAATCAGTATTAAAAAACGTTAACTAGTTTTGGTGAAAAAAGAAAGGAAGTAAGAAGTTGCAACTATTTATAATATTTTAATTATACAAAAACTATTTACAAGATTTTATATAGAGTATGAGTAAAAGGTCACTTGTGAAGTATAACACCACAATATTATTCTACTAAAAATATTTTGTATATAATTTATCATGAATATTAGAAAATAATATATACTAAATAATGAATATTTAAGAGATATAATAACAAATGTAATTATATTTTCACTTTAATGGATATGGATAAAAAAGTGATAATTTATGATATAATTAAATTGAAACATATGTTATTACAATGCTTTAATTCAGTGAGGAAAGTACTAAGAAATTATGCAATTCAGTTAAGAGATGTTGCAGGATGAATGCACGAGAAGTGCATTAAGAGCACATCAGTGTCGGATGGATTATTAACGCTCCGCAATTCCTATGACCCTATCCTCAGAGTATCTTTGAAGACCACGATGTAAATAGTAATAACAGACACCCTTACTTCATTCTGCAGATTAGGATCGATCTGAGGAAGTGCGATGCGAGCGGCGCACCGGACACCTGCGAATACGTGATCAAGGATTACGAGGCGGCAAACGCGTGTGACATAATCGGAATGGAGAAGGAGATCTGGTCTCCGTTCGTGGACAACTCGAATATGCCGAAGGAGTGTCCCATTAAAGCGGTATTAAATCCATCCGAATTTCAATTACAAATTAAAATCGCCTAAGCCTCTTAAGAAAGTTTCAGCTCGCTTTCGACTCCACTCTTATTCCTTTCCATCATCAGTATTCATCACATTATTCCGATTCTTCTCCGTCTCCTTCTCCTAAAGCATTATTATGATTATTGTGATTCCGTTTTCATCCCTTTGCTTTTACTCTCTCCTTCTATATATATATTTCTCTCTTATTTCCAGGGGAATTACACTTTGAATAAAACGGTCATCACTGATGACCTGATATCCTCCGTTCCGCACGCCTCGGCCGTATGGAAGCTCCGGTTCACGGGCTTTGATCAAGCCCTTAATATTCTTTGCGTGGAGCTGGAGGTCGCCGTTAAACTTACACATGCCGGGAAAACCAAAGGACGCAGACCATAACACTTTATAACGATAATTAAAACTGGGACCTTCGGCCTCCGGCTATGTGACTTAAATTATCTAACCGGACTCCTAAATTCACCAATTTCCCACATACACACCCTCAGCAAAATATAAAAAAAAAAACCAGATGCTCTGTTCGATGCACGAAATAAAACGATGTAAAAAAAAACGAACACGACCAATTTTATTTACGGCCCTTACGTTCTGCAATTACCGCGGAAACTTTGTTTAACTGCAAATATTCTTGTAAACTTCAGAAGGAATCACTGGAATTATGAGCGTACGAATTGAAATTTACTGCAAACAAACTTCCTGTCCGACGAAGAGCTTCAAGGAAAAATAAACAATTACAGATGAAAATAAAAAAATGCAAATAAAAATGAACAAATTCAAAAGAAAATTGAGGAAATTGCAAATAAATTAAAGAATTTTCAAATTTGAAATGAAAGAACAATTATAATAAAAGCTGATTGGGTGGGTTAAAACTCGTGTAAGACTATCGAGCAGGTCAAGTTGGGGGATTCCCCCGAATCTGTGGACAAATAAACGGGTTAAAACGAAATCAAGCGAAAACCACGCCGAAATCTAAATCTCTAATTTATAGTTAGTAATTCACATTGTCATTATTAAAACGCTTATCTAGGGGCTTAATGGAGAAGTTGGCTGCATCGAGTTAGTCTAGATTACGAACGCAAATGTTATGAGGTTAAACATAATCATTCATTGAACGAAAAGTTAAATCGTTTCATTCATATTTATTGGTGCATTTGTATTTTAAACTATAATTAATTGCTTCAAATTATTTTTTTGAATAAATATATTAGTTTGTGAACATTTAATTATAATATTGATAAAAATTATATTCGTTCGTTGCTTTATGTTATTTTTTTTCTAATTTACACTTTTATATCTGTAATTATTTGTGTTATTGAATTAAACAATATGAAATAACTCGGTTCCCGAACAATAATTTATTTTCCGAACATATAATCCAAACGAAAAACGTATTGATTCACAAACATACAAACTGACAATTAGTTCGTGAGAACTATGGCAACTATAATTATTTTGGTTTTCGAACAAATTCGATTTTCAATTACCTTTTAGGAACGATTTAAATATATTTAACAAACTTCATTGTAAGACTATTTAATGTTTTCTAGTTTATAAATATTTCTACTTTTATACAAAATATCAAGATAAAAAAAAATCACTTAATTCTCAGATAATGCAATATCATCGTCACTATGCAATAGAACGTCATTTTTCGTCAAGTCGAGTGTTTCTATTGTAGCTTGCATCGTTCTTGTTCCATTAATATTCCTTACAATAGACTTTTAAATCGGCCCATATTGCGATAGTGCTTTTCATTGCTTCTATTATGCATTTCTTATTTTAAATTATTTTATATTTTAGATATATCTTTTTATATAATCACTTATCAAACACTTACAGTCTCTTATAATATGTTTTTCTTCAATTTTTAATAAACTTTGTTATACACATAATTGTATTATTGTTTTAGAAATAAAATACAAATTCGTCAGATAATATATTAATGAAGTCACTAAAACGAACCTAGAATCATTCATCTATTAGTGCCTTCAAATGATCTCCTTCAATTATTAATATATTTGTTCGTATTACTTCACAATATTCTTCAATAAGTAAACAGATAATTTATTAAGGAATGGCGAAGAAACACATATTTTTCTTATCTATATTATATCATAACATAATTCAATAAGCAGATTGACAAAATAGTTAAAAGATTTTTATTATATTAAATATATAATAAAGTACAAAAAAATATAACTACGCTAAAAGCTAATTCCTTGAATAATTCTATGTAATTAGAACGTGTATTTGATATATTGGCTATCAGATGATATTAGTAAATATAATTTTCTGATTTGAATCATTAAGATACGTAAATCCTGGTTAATACTTAATTAATAACTAATAAGTCTTTTATATCAAATTACAATTTTGTCTTTCTTTTTTACATATTGCTTTCAATATGCGTTTTTATAATAAATTGACCTACTTATCCAGATGTGAGCCTGTAACATCGACAGTTATAATATGTAGCAGTTATATTTAATAAGTACAAAAAATTCAAAGTGTTGAGATATCTTAAAGATTTAATATCTTAATTATATTACACTGAGACATCGCAGTTATGGAACGCTAAAAGCTAATTCCTTGAGTAATTCTGCGCAATTAGAAACGTTTATTTTAATTAAGCGTTGCGACTGCAAAAAAAAAATATACAAAGAAATTTAAAAAGTATGTACGTAAGGAAGAATAATTGTTTTAATCTTATTAGCCGCCGTTCTGTCGCGAAAAGCACTTGGATTTCATGTGTATATGATAATAATAATAATAATAATATGCATGTGAGCATTGCTGCAGAGTATAATTGTAATCCTTTTCAGTGGTTTTGTTCTGCAGAAAATTATGATGTGGATGGAGCGAAATTGGTTGGTCGATGCAGAAGCGAACTTGGCCACGGCCCCACAACCACACACACTCACAAATTCGATGTATACGTATATGGTATACATGCACACAAGTTCGTACGGCAGTCAGTACATAGCCGATTAATGGACTAAATTGTGCGAACCAGTTATTATGCAATTCGAGCGGAATTATTATTATAATGGCTAAGCTAAGCTGGCAGAACGAAGGCCTTTTTCGATCGAAATTAATTACACCCGCAGCTGAACTGATATGATTATAGAATAAATTAAATTTCGGATTATGTTCAATTAGAGGACGTACAAGTTATTTATTATTTTATTCTGGTCCACTTGGTTTGGACACACACGCAACAAATCGCACACGCATATACACGCACGCACTCGCACACACACACATCCATACATGCCGGTGCACATCCGGGAAAGTGGACCGGAATGGACATTAACCAATATGTCGAATGCGAAATGGATAACAGATTTTATCTGGTGCGAGTAAATATTCAATAATTTGTAGCCTGACAATCATGATTTATGCATGTCACTGATACGCAACGACACTAATGGCTAAATATAATTACTTCGTACCTTTAATGGATTGCACTTTAGGTATTGTCAAAATGACGGGGGTGGTACCCTGGCGACTGAAAGGGGTTTTCGCCGACAAAAAAATATGGAACAAACAATATGAGACAGTAAAGAGGATCCACAAAAAATAATAATCAAATATGCACAAACTGTTGACAATATTTCCATGCGACTTCTCGTATACAAATACAAATGCTTTCAACCTTTCGTTGTAAATATGTATTCATTACTCATTAAAGTTTGTTACTTCATCAAAAACAGAAGTCTCTAATAATAAATTATTTATTTTTATTGCTTGATTTTTTTAATTTTTTTTATGTCGTATAATTTATTCACAATCTGTTCATCAATGTGAACATTGAGTAAATTTAAGATCGCGCTTGACATTAAATTGATAATCTTTCCCGGTGGATAGTTACCATTATGATGATTTGATTTTTAATTTGTTGGTTGGCTGTAGTCTTGAAGGTTAACTTTAGTAGTATATTAATTCTCTGCGATTCCAATATTTCCTTTGACTGTGAATCTGCTGCTATCCTTAACACTGTCATTGTCCATCGACTTGGCTGAAGGTCTATATGCTTAACCTCATTCTTTTCACTGTCCATCTGTGGTGAACGATGAATAGATGCAAGTACCGAGAAAGCTCACAAAGGGCCTGGCTTGACCAGGATTCGAACCGGTACCCACGAAGTAGTGGGCAGGGCGACTTAACCATTCGGATATTAGTCGCCCTGATTTTTTTGTACATTTCATTTATGAATTATTATCGATAAGATTTCTTGGATTTAGAATGTAAGGCAGTTTGTAAAGTTTTAAAAGCGAAAGAGAAAAAACGAGTTTTGTGGTAAAAAAAAATATTTTTCAATATAATCCTTGTACCTTCAAAAATCTAGTCTAGCGTTTTTCTAATAATTCTATACCATGTTTATAATTATTTCTATTAAGACTTGCGAAATAACTGTCTACAGCATCAATTCCTTCTTTAATGAACGAAAAAAAGCTTTCCAGAAACGTTTTTCAGGTTTTGTGAATAGATTCATACTTTAATTCGTTTATATTTGCCATTTTGATACTTTTGTGAGCTAGTGTGTTATATTTGAGATTGATTATTTTCTTTTTCATTATTTTTTCTATTCAATTGCTTAATATTCTGAGTTAATTCTTTTATCTTTCTCAAGATAATTTATTTACAACAAAAAGTATTTTGCATTCCAAAAAATTGAAGCCATAACCTTTACTGTTGATAGAACAGTCTTTGTCTTCTTTGGTGCACTTTCTCTCTGGTGTGTAGTGGTAAAACCAAATTTAGTCCATAGTTATGAATCGATGAATTCAGTTTTATTCATTTTATAACAATCGAAAGGCGCTTGAAAATGCGGATGTTATCAGTTGTTAGCAAATGCAGTACCCATCTTGTACAGAGCTTTTACATCTTTAATTCTACATACAAAATACGGAAATGCCTATGTCATCAGCTATTTCACGCACATTTATTCGTCAGTCATCTAAAACTATATCATGGACTTTTTTAATGTTTTCGGACAACGGTGTACTTCATGGTCATTTCAGTGATCATCTTCAATTTTACTTCTTGAACTGTGTAATTAGCAACAAGATACAGTGAAAGAACGTAATTCGTATAGGTAAAGTGAGTTAAATTTTTGTGTATTTTTATATTTATTTCAGTTGTGAATTGTTATTGATCAGACTTATTTATTCCTCTATTATATATTTTTTAATTATTTTAATTTCTGTGACAATATACTTAGTTTCCATAAGGGGAAAATGTAAATTAAACCCATTCTTAATCATTTTCCACTTATGTTATTATTTTTAATCCATTTAGATAAACAAAATTTTAGAGAATTTTCTTCTTGTTTTCTAATTGTTTTTTTATATGATTTGCAAGACCTACTTTCGAAAATG